TCTACCGCTGTGGCGGAAAAATTGTGTCTGGTGGTTCACAACCGGTTCGAACCCCACCCCCCCCCCCCCCTCCGGAAAACCGGGGGGGGTCACTACCGGTTCGAACCCCTTTCCCCCCCCCCCCAGTTCATCATGAAAAGGGGGGGGGGTCACTACCGGTTCGTCGAACCCCCCCCCTCCCCCCCTCGAAAACCGAGTGGGGGTGCGGACAGTGGTGGGGACGGTGTTGGTGGGGACAGTGGTGAGGGGACAGCGGGACAGTGGTGGGGACAATGGGACAGTGGGACAGTGGTGGGGACGGTGGTGGTGGGGACAGTGGTGGGGACAATGGCGGGAACAGGGGGGACAGTGGACAGTGGTGGGGACGGTGGTGGTGGGGACAGTGGTGTGGGCACAGTGGGAATGAGGTGGAAACAGTGGGACAGCGGAGGGTACAATGGTGGTGGGGACAGTGGTGAAGGCGGTGGCGAGGACGGCGGTGGGACAATGGGACAGAGGTACAGTGGGGACAGTGGTGGGGACAGTGGGGACAGTGGTGGGAACAGTGGGACAGCTCAGTGGGACAGCGGCGGAGTCGGTGGGACAGGGGGGACAGTGGGGATAGTCGGGCAGTGGTTGGGGCCATGGAGACAGTGGGGAGAGTGGAACCGTGGTGGGAACAGTGGTGGGGACAGTGGGGACAGTGCGACAGTGGTGGGGGCACTGGTGGGGACACAGTGGGGACAGTGGTGGTGAGGACAGTGGTGCTGGGAACAACAGTGGGGGATGTGATGCGGACGGTGGTAGGGACCGGGAGTCGTTTGCTGGCGGTGAGTGGGGGGGGTGGGGAGGGGTTCGAACCGGCAGTGACCCCTCCTCCGGTTTTCAAAGGGGGGGGGTTCGAACCGGTAACTTGACCCTCCCCAGTTTCCGGATCCGGAGGAGGGGGGGGGGAGGGGTTCGAACTGTAGTGACACCCCCGGTTTTCGAGGGGGACGGGGGGGGGTTAGGGGAGGGGGCGGGTATTGCCGGGGGTGAAGGGGGGGGGTCCAGCAGGGGCGGGGGGATTTTCGGAGGGGGGGGGGGCGACCCCCAGGTTCCGGAGGAAAAGGTTGGCAATTTTCCACAGTAGAGCGGCGGTGGATCACGCTCACGCTCTCTCATATATATCGATCTATTCCTGTTGTGTCGGCGATGCGGCGCGATCCTCCGACACCATCTGCTCCGACCCCATCTAGGAGGCCTCTGTCTTATGGGCCCCAGAGCCGCCAAGAACCAGCTGTGAACGGGGCCTCTGGGACTCCATGCCGTAAGCCCACGCACGGCGTCGGGGGTCCGGCCGTCTCTCGTGCGGAGCGCGCCGCGTGGGTGCTGTTGGGATGCATGCCTGTGGCCACGAGTCCCGGCTGGCCCCTCTGGGGAGTCATGACGCGCCCCTTCGGGGTGCCTTTTGGGGTGCTCCCAGGGGGCCTTCTGGGGGCGCGTTGGGGTTCTCCTTCCCTCGCCCCTCTGCCTCTTCCTCTTCGTTCTGCTTCTCCTCCTCCTTCTCCTCCTTCTCTTCCTCTCCTCTTCTTCTTCCGCCTCCTTCCTCTCCTCCTCCTCCTCCTCCTCCTCTTCCTCCTCCTCCTCCTCCTCCTCCTCCTGTCCTCTCCTCCTCCGCCGTGCTTGGCCCTGGCCTGGCGCCGGATCTGGCCTGGCGTGGCGTGGCCTGGGCCAGGCCTGGTCCGTCCCGGGTCCGGACCTAGGGGAACGAAGAATGACTCGGGGGCCCCCAAACTCACCGCCCACCAAGCCACCCCAACCCAACCCGAAGGCCCCAATTTGCCCTCCATTTCAAGTTTGGGGGGGATCGGGGAACGTTGAGAAAACACACATGAAGCCCGTACCCCCCCCAACCCGAAATTCGGGTCTTCGGGTTGGGTTGGGGTGGTTTGGTAGGTAGTCACAAACGGGGTGGTGACCACACCGTGTGGTGAGTCGGTGGGGATTCGGGGTCACCGCGCGGTTTTGGGACTCGGGTCGTTCTCCGAGGATGTCTCGGGCGACTGGAGCCTCCGGGGTCCCAAGACCGTGTGGTGACGGACCGTGCGGTGAGGTCTCTTGGGGTTCCGAGGGGAACGAATAATGGCATAAAACATAAAAACTCGGAGGCCTGCGCGGATTGCTTGGATCTGCGCTGGACCCCCCTCCCTGGCGCGCGGAGCGCGCCAGGGGCGGCGCCGGAGGCGCCGCCAGGGGGCCTCAGCGCCGATCCGAGAAATCCGCGCGGACCTCAAGAGTTTTTATGTTTATGCCATTCTTCGTTTCCGTAGGTCCGGCCCGGGTCTGGTGGTGCCCTGCTCGGACGCCTGGGGGGGAAGACTACCACAGCGGAAGCGGGTTCTGAGGGACACGGGTCGTGAGGGTTTTCGCCGTTTTCGGGCTCCTGGGGCCTTCCACGGACCCCGAGAGTGTCAGAAGATTCCTCCTCCTCTCTCCCTCCCACTCTCTCACGATGGGTATACACCCCAGCTCAGAGTCAAGGACATTTCACGCGAAGAGAATCGCTTCACTCCAGGCGTTCTGTGGAACAGGCGTCCAGGTCCAGATGTACGGAGATCCCACGAAGACAAGCTCCCAGAAATCGCCCAGGGGCCAGCCCAGATTCTCGATGTTCTGGATTGACATTTGGAGCCCTCGAGAGTTCACGCTTTCTCCTCCTCCTCCCCCTCCTCCTCCTCCTCCTCCTCCTCCTCTTCGTCCTCCTCAGCCTCCTCCTTCGCCCCGTCCTCCGCCCCGTCCACGAGATGTCTGGTGGGTGTTTTTTCATGCGCACGTTTCCATGCGCGAGCTAGCGACATGATGCTCGCAGAAGCTCGAGCCGCACCGGCGGGAAGGCTTGTCTCGTCTGGATCCAGGATTATTGCTACAGCCCCTTAGCCAAGCTGAGAGTTGTGGCCTTGGGCACGACGACGGCGACGGCGACGACGACGAACGGCGACGGCGGCGGCGACGACGGCGGCGACGGCGGCGGCGACGACGACGACGGCGACGACGACGACGACGACGACGGCGGCGGCGAAGACGGCGGCGCACCGCGCGCGGTGTCGCCCCGCCCCGCCCCGCTGGCGCGAAGGCTCCCCGGGCGGCCCCCCGTCGCCGGGCCTGGCGCACCACGCGCTGCGGCACCTCATGCAGGAGAGCCGCGTGCGGCCCACCGGCGCTGCCGTCGTCGTCGTCGTCGTCGTCGTCGTCGTCGTCATCGTCGCCGCCGCCGCCGCTGTCGTCGCCGTCGTCGTCGTCGCCGCCGCCACCGCCGCTGTCGTCGTCGCCGGTCGTCGTCGTCGTCGTCGTCGTCGTCGCCGTCGCCGTCGTCGTCGTCGTCGTCGTTGGTGTCGTCGTCGTCGTCGCCGTCGTCGTCGACGTCGTCGTCACCGTCTTAGTCGTCGCTGTCGTCGCCGTTGTAGTTGGCGCCGTCTCCGTCGTCGTTGTCGTCGTCGTCGCCGTCGTCATCGTCGCTGTCTCCGTTGTCGTCGACGTCGGTGTCGTCGACGTCGTCGTCGTCTTTGCGGTCATCGCCGTCATAGTAGTCTACGTCGTCGTCATAGTAGTCTAAGTCGTCGCCGCTGTCATCGTTCTTTTCGTAGTTGTCGTCTTCGTCGTCGTCGCTGTCATCTTCCCCGTCGTAGTCGTCATCCTCGTCATCGTCTCCGTCGTCGCCGTCGTCGTCGTCCTCGTAGTCGCTGTCGTCGCCGTGGTAGTCGTCGCTGTCTCCGTTGGCGTCGTCGTCGTTGTCGTCGCCGTCGTCGTAGTCGCTGTAGTCGCCGTTGTCGTCGTCGTCGTCGTCGTCGTCGTCGTCGTCGCCGTCGCCGTCGCCGTCGCCGTTGTCGTCGCCGTCGCCGTCGTTGTAGTCGCCGTCGTCGTCACCGTCGCCGTCGTCGTAGTCGCTGTCGTCGCCGTCCGTCGTAGTCGTCGCTGTCTCTGTTGTCGTCGTAGTCGCTGTCGTCGCCGTCGTCTTCGCTGTCTCCGTTGTCGTTGTCGTCGTCGCCGTTGTCGCTATCGTCGTCGTCGCTGTCTCCGTTGTTGAACATTTTTTCTTCTTAAGAATAATTATTGTTGGGACCCCTGGTGCGCGCCCCCCCCGCCGCGCCTAGGCCGCAGCCACGTTTTCATCATTTTCGTGAGGAAGCCTCAGGCAAAACGATGTGTACCAGATCCGGTTGTTTTGTTGTCCCCCGCTTTCCCTTGCAAAAAATAAGCTAAAGTGGACATTTCTTGTTCTAACATATCCAAACTTCAAGAATCCCTTGCAAAAAATAAGGTAAAGTGGACATTCGCGCGCGCAAGACGAAATCCTTCCAAAACCTTAGTTTTCGTAACGCTTTTAACATAAAAACATCAAAAAACCAATGGTTTTTCAAAAAAAAATTCAAAATTTCATCCCGCGCGCTCTTGCGGATTCGTAGGAAACCCAACACTTTTTAAACATTTCTGTCAAACGGGCTTTTGCGAGCAACTTTTTCGAACTTCTGCAACAACGGTTGCGCACCTGCCAGGGCCATCATCCCTGTCAAATAATACCATGCGGGACACATTCGTTTTTTCTTCGCGCGCGCACGCCGTCGTCGTCGGCCGCGGGGCCCTGAATAGTAGCCACGGTCGTCCGCATGCCACGAAGTGAAGTGTCCGAACGTCATAGGGCGGGAAGCTGGGTGTGGGTGGTGGCGAAGAGTCGTTTGGAAATTTGGTAGAGCTTGAACCGGCCCCCCCACAAAGTGGGGGTATTGCCCGCCTCCTATGAAAACCCTGGCACTGGTGAGAACGGAGTGTCCCCACGTGCTAGTAATTGTTGTTGTTGTTGTTGTTGTTGTTGTTGTTGTTGTTGTTGTTGTTGTTGCCGTTACTGTTGCCTTTTTCCCGGAAAGGGCCTGAGCCCAGGGTTCTCTTTTAGTTGGTTTCCCCCCGGTTTTGACGGCTGTAGGGCCGGCGAATTTCTTTTGCGATAAATAACGAGGTCGCGTAGGGCCGGCGAATCAAAATTTGAGGATGTCTCGAGCGAAACGCTAGTTTTTCAGAATTTGTTGAGGATGTCTCGAGCGAAACCCTTGTTTTGTGTTATAGATTGTTTTTTCCTGGGGACATGATTTCTGAGGATCTCTCAAGTGGATTGCTTGTTTTCACGTGCCCAGGTCTTGAGGATGTCTCGAGCGAGACGCTTGGTTTCACGCCTCCAGGTGGCCCAGACAGATGTCTAGCATGAGGATTTGTTGAGGATTTCTCGAACCAGAGGCTTGTTTTCACGTGTCCAGGTCGCCCAGGCGGATGTCTAGCATGAGTATTTGTTGAGGATGTCTCGAGCGAGACGCTTGTTTGCACGTGTCCAGGTTGCCCAGGCGGATGTCTAGCATGAGGATGTGCTGACAACGTCTTGAGCGAAACGCGTGTTTTCACGTGTCCAGGTCGCCCAGGCACAGCACAGCCCTCGGCACGGTACATCAATATCGATACCCTTAGCATTGCAGCCTGGCATGTTGCCTGGCACGTTCCGCGGAGCGTCCCGTGGCGAGTCCCCCTGGCACGTCGCGCGGTGCACGTCCATTGGCACGTTCCGTAGCGCGTCCCCTTGGCACGTCCCGCGGTGCGTCCCCATGGCACGTCCCCTGGCACGTCGCCTGGCGCGTCCCTTGGGACGTTCCGCGGCGCGTCCTCCTGGCATGTTCCCTCTGTCGATTAGTTCTGGGGCAGCTACCATCTGCTCAGGCAGCTCGAGCTTACGATCCAGATCAGTTCAGTGAGGACTCGGATGCCAGGGAGGACTCGATTTACAAGGCTATATGGAGCACAATTGCGGCATGGCACATCGCAGTTCAGCACGGCCCAGCACAGCACAGCCGTCGGCACGGTACATCAAGATCGATACACTCAACTATGCACCTTGGCGCGTTCCGTGGCGAGTCCACCTGGCACGTCGCGCGGCGCGTCCCCTGGCACGTCCCTCGGCACGTCCATTGGCACGTTCCGTAGCGCGTCCCCTTGGCACGTCCCGCGGTGCGTCCCCATGGCACGTCCCCTGGCACGTCGCCTGGCGCGTCCCTTGGGACGTTCCGCGGCGCGTCCTCCTGGCATGTTCCCTCTGTCGATTAGTTCTGGGGCAGCTACCATCTGCTCAGGCAGCTCGAGCTTACGCTCCAGATCAGTTCGGTGAGGACTCGGATGCCAGGGAGGACTCGATCCACAACGCTATAGATGGAGCACAATCGCGGCATGGCACATCGCAGTTCAGCACGGCGTAGCACAGCACAGCCCTCGGCACAGTACATCATCATCGATACATTCAGCATTGCATGTGCCCGTCGCCCAATCAGGTGTCTTTGAAATGTTGCAATGCCTTACATTTCTATATTCCTTTCCGGGTTCGTGGGTCGATCATGTTTTAATCGCTTCGCTCATTCCGCCGGCCTTGGAGCGCTAATTTGGGGCCTCTCGGGGCCGTCTTGGGGGCCTCTTGGGGGCTTCTTGGGAGCGTCTTGGGGCTCCTTGGCGGCGTCTTGGGCTCCCTTGGGGCCTCTTGGGGGGCTCTTGGGGGCCCCTTGGGGCGGGAGGGGGGGTAGTCGATTGCAGCCACCCCCTCGGAGGTCACGATCCTCGTGAGGGGTGGCGAAAAATAGCCTCCCCCCTGGGATCGCCCGGGACCCGGCCGGGGGTCGGCCGGGGTAGTTTTCGTCCAGGGGCCCCCACTATAGCAGGGGCCGCCCCGCGCGCGCGAACTAGAAATATTGTTAAGTAGTTATCGGAGATCTTAGCACGCCTCTGGCCCGTTGGGCCGGCGAATTAAGAGGGGAGGAGGTGGGGAGGAGCTGACCTACGGGGGGCTTCAGCGTTGCTCCGTGCGCCTCCCTGGCATGTCGCCATGTCGCAGCGGCCGTGCTCTTTACCGTCCCCGTCAGCCCCAATTCCGTATGGGCTGGGGGAATTCAGCTTCTCTCGGAGGCCTCGATGCCCACCGCGTGTAGCGTTTATGAGGAGGAGGACGAGGAGGAGGAGGAGGAGGAAGAAGAAGAGGAGGAGGAGAAGGAAGGGGACGAGGGGAAGGAGGAGGAAATTTACGAAAGTACGACGAACTGGAAGGGGATGAAAAAGAGGACGAAGGCGAGCGCGAGAAAGGGGAACGGGGCCCTCACCTTCATACTCCCGTCTCCTAGCCCTCCGCCTCCCCCTTCCTTCCTTCCTTCCTTCCTTCCTTCCTTCCTTCCTTTCTTCCTTCCTCTCTTTCCCTCAAGAAGCGCTGATGGCTGCCCGACCCCTGGCATTCGCAGCGCGCTGGCTCTCCAGCGGCAGCATGCGATCTAGCCGCACCCCTGATGGATCCTCCTTCCTCCTTCCTCTTCCCTGGCGTTCTAAGCGCGCAGTTTCTCCAGCGGCAGCGTGCGATCCAGCTGCGCCCCTGATGATCCTCCTTCCTCCTTCCTCCTCCTTCCTCCTGCTCCACGGTTTTCCTTTGGAAGGGGTCCCGCTGTCAGCCAGTGGTGTCCCCCAGCGAAGCTGCCAGGCACGCTCTCCTTACAGTTGAATGTTCTTCACAGATCCAGCACGTGTGTCACGTCGTTTCGCTGCACTGTTGAGCTATGGAGCAGATCAAGGATCGCAAGTGTTCAGTCGGTCAGTCAGTCAGGCCCTCCTGAGGCCCTACAGCACGAGGCCTCCTGAGGCCCTCCTGGGAGGAGGAGGAGGGAGGGAGGGAGGAGGGAGGGAGGGAGGAGGGAGGGAGGGAGGGAGGGAGGGAGGAGGAGGAGGAGGAGGAGGAGGAGGAGGAGGAGGAGGAGGAGGAGGAGGAGGTGGAGGAGGAGGAGGAGGAGGACGAGGAGGTGGTGGAGGAGGAGGAATCATGCCCTCCCGAGGCCCTCCCGAGGCCCTCCGCCCTCCCGGGGCCTGCCTGCACGAGGCCCCGCGAGAGCGGGCGCCGCGGTGTGCTCGCCCCTCGGGGCCGTGCTCCCGGGGCCTGCCGTCGGAGAGAGAGAGAGAGAGCGCGGGGCGCAATCCTCCTCCTCCTCCTCCTCCTCCTCCTCCTCCTCCTCCTCCCGGAGGGCTCCTGCGTGCTCGAAGGCCCCCCCCCGCCGGTCGGGAAGAGCCCAGCGGACTCGGATCGGGGCCCCTAAGAGACGGGGGTCACGTCGGCTACGCGCAGAGGGGGGCAGGGGGAGGGGGGAAGGCTTCTTAGGAGGGGGCTGCTTCTCAGAAGGCTCCAGCCCTACATCTGTAGGCAAGGCCCGCGCCTTCCCAGAAGCAGCCTCCTTCTGAGAAGCCTTCCCCCCCTCCCCCCTTACCCCCTTGTGTTCGCCGTCAAAATTGCAGGTTCGATCCAGTCGGGAGCCTTGAGACGGGGGTCCATGGAAACCTGGGGTCAGCCAGAGCGCCGGATCTTGAAGGATCCCGTAGGGCTAGTGTCTCGCTGACCCAGGTCTGCGTGCAGGATCTTGAGGTCCCTACAGGACCCTGCAGGATCCCGCAAGGCCTGACTGACCCAGGTTTGCACCGATCCGGGTCAGTACGTCTCCGATCAGATCCGGATTCCCGCGCCCGCGCGACGACCGCGACGACCACGGCGGCCACGGGGACCCCTCCTGTGGCTCCCTGCTGTCCGCCTGGGGGCCGGGGCCGCCGCCAGGGCTCCGGCGCCGAGAGCGGCGCGCCTGGCGTGCGCAGCGTGCGCCTGTCCATGCTCGAGGCCGAGGGGGAGGGCGAGAGAGGGTGCCGGGTCGAGGGTGCGGGACTGCTGGGGAGGGCGAGAGGAGCGAGGATGGAGGGTGGATGGCGGGTTGAGGACCGAGGATGGGGAGGGTGCGTGAGGGGGGGAGGGCCGTCGTTCGAGGATGGAGGGGGGTTGGAGTCGGCCTTTGGGGCTGAGGTAGGGCGTCACTGGTTCCAGCCATCAGAGGGGGGGAGAGGCACACGGTGTGCACGGGTGTCGTTCCCTTGCCCCTCTGGGGTCCGCCTTCGCCAGATCGGCATGGAATGCCGAATCCGCATCCTTTCCCCTGCGGCCTGGTTCTGCTGGTGCCCGCCTGGAGCAGGCCCCTCGGCAGATCTGGGCGCGGCTTCTTCTGTGTCTCTTGCCAGCCTTTTTGGGGAAGGGTTTCTCCGTCGCCACGGCCTCAGCCGCCTCGAGGTTTCTGGTCAGAGCGCGCCCCCGTTGTTGTTTGCCCCCCTGCAGATGTTTTTGGTTTGTCTGTTTATTTGTTTGTTTGTTTTGTTTGTTTGTTTGTTTGTTTGTTTGTTTGTTTGTTTGTTTGTTAGTGTGTGTGTGGGTGTGTGTACCTTGATGTGGCCCGTACAGGCACTATATCGTCCAGGTGCTTGCGTTCTGTTTCGGCTCCCATTCATGGTTGACGAAGCGTTAACTGCAGTGGGTTCGTCCTTCAACGATGGCGCCCGCTTTGCACGGCACGTTGGTCACGCACGCGCCGTCCCTATCCATGGATTTGTTTGTGCTGTCCACCACCCATGCACGCCACCGTGTGTTGGCTGTCGTGGTCGCCCGCGGTCAGCTTGATGTCTTTGATTGGCCTTTCGGCCCGTACGCGCGCTGTCTTCGCGCTACTTGCACCTGCACAGTGTTTTGCCGCGTGCGTTGCTCGCTTGGCGGCGGCGCTTGTCTCGCCTGTGCCTGTCTTGCGCCGCCGTTCGCTGGCTGGTCTGGCAGCATTGCAATGCGCGTCTTCCTTTAGCTACTAGCATCAGACGGCTGTAGCGCTTCAACTCCAGGCGTCGAGCTACGCTCCGCGGGATGCTTGGCCGCTGCACGTTGGCTTTGCAGTGCCTCGTCTTTTCACCACCTGCATCTCTGCACGGCCGTGGCTGGACCCTTTCGTCACGGCGTGTTCGATTCAGTTCATCCGCAATTTGCGCTTCCACTTGCCGACCGCGCCTGAGGCTCCTCTTTGCCGCCGACTCAAAACATTGTGTGCGTGCGTTTGTGTGTGTGTGTGTGTGTGTGTGTTTGTGTGTGTGTGTGTGTGTGTGTGTGTGTTTGTGCGTGCGTGCGTGCGTGCATGCGTGCGTGTGTGTGTGTGTGTTGTCTGCTGGAGCGCGCGTGCGGACTGCCTCTGCCGCGCTGCGACGTAAGAAAGACTGTGTGCCTTCCCTCTCCTAACCCCCTCTCCTACCCCCTCGCCTCCCTTCTCGGCTGGCTCCTTCTCCTCCTCGCGTCTTGCCTCGGAGTCGTGCTGTGTGGCGCCTCCCCTCTCCCCGTCCGCGCCCCCTCCTCCGTCGGTCGGCCCGTTGGCTCTCGCGCCCGCTCGTCTGTCTCCCTCGGCCCGTTGCCGCCGCTCCCCGCTCCCCGCCTCTCGCTCCGCTCCGTTCCGCCCCCCCCCCTTTTCGCCGCCTACCAAGCCACCCCAACCCAACCCGAAGGCCTCAATTTAACCTCGATTTCCAGTGGGGGGGGGGGTTGGGGAACATCGAAAAAACACATGTGGAACCCTTACCCCCCCCAACCCGAAATTCGGGTCTTCGGGTTGGGTTGGGGTGGTCTGGTAGGTAGTCACCTTTGCCCCCCTGTTAGGAGGCCACATGCGAACCCTGCCCCTACCCCCCACGATTTCTGAGGGGGAGGGTGGGGTTGACTTCGTTCGGGCGCTTCCGAGCGAAGTGAACCCCACCCTCCCCCTCAGAAATCGTGGGGGGTAGGGGCAGGGTTCGCATGTGGCCCCCTACCTGTCCTGCTGGCCCCTCGCCGTCCCCTGCTTTGGGGCTTCGCTGCGTCGTGCGCGTTCTTGCTCTTTCCACTGTTCGCCAGCGCGTGCGCGCCAGCGGGGCTCTCGAGCGACTCGGGGCCGGTCCCAGTCAGGGACGGCTGACTGTGTGCTTACAGTGCCGTTTTTAATACATGCTCCGCGTGCGGATCATGTGTTAAAAAATGCAGGGGTTCAGTACTAAAAACAACGATGAGTTCATTCACAAATTTATTAATCGCTTCGCTCATTCCGCCGGCCCATATCGCGCACCGCCGTTGACTGGCCGAGTGGCCGTCGGCAGTGCGGAGCTGCAGGGGGCGGGGGACTCAGGTTGTGCCTCTTTTGTCGTGTCGGACGGTGGCAGGCGTTGAATGGGAACGTTGATTCTCGTGTAGTGCTGATGTCCTCTGTCGTTGCGGACGCGGGCGGCAAGGAACAGTTTTTTGTTTCTCCTCTTCGTCCTGTTTTCTTGCGTGCTGGGGGGGCATTTGGGTGGCCTGCAGGGGCCGCTTGGGGGCTTCTTGGGGGCCTCCTGAGGGCCTGTTGGGGGCCTCTTTGGGGCCTCTTAGGGGCCTCTTGGGGCCTCCTGGGGACTTCTGAGGGCCGAGGGCTCGAAATATTGTTTCGTGTTCCCCCCCTGGGGCCTCTCTTGGGGCGTCCTTGGGGCCCTCTTGGGCCGTCTTGGAGCCCTCTTGGGCCGTCTTGGGGCCCTCTTGGGGGCCTCTTGGGCCCTCTTGGGGCGGTCTTGGGGTCTTCTTGGGCCGTCTTGGGGTGTCGTGAAGCCGAAAAGGTGGAAACGTGAAAATTCATCCAAAACCTTAGGAAAAGCAATGAATTTTGCCTCTTGGGGCCCTCTCGGGAGTGCTCTTGGAGGCCTCTTGGGGCGTCTGGGGGCCATCGTGGGCGTCTTGGAGCGATCTTGTGGCATCTCGGACCCCTCATGTAGCATCTTGAAGGCCTCTTGGAAGCCTCTTGGCCCTTCTTGGGGCTCTCGGGGACGTCTCGGAGCCGCGTTGGTGCGCTGCTGGAGCGCCCTGGTGACTCCTCCCGGGACTCTCTCAGGACCTTGCCGGGGTACTTTCCGCCCGGGGACCCCCAGGGGCCGCCCCGCGCGCGCGTAAAGCAGTCACCGGAGATCTTAGCACGCCTCTGGCCCGTTGGGCCGGCGAATTCATAGATTGATCGTGTATGAAAATCCCATATGAAGTCCCATGTATCAAAAGCTGCCCTGCAGGCGTAGGCGTGTGAGTTTCTCTCATCCTTGGGCTCCCAGGGGGTGCCCTATACAGTCGGGGCGCTGGAGAAGGAACCCTTTTCGTTGGGGAGGGGCTCGGTGTTCCTTGATTGTTTTACAGTTTGCCTTGGGTTGTCCTTAGGTTTTCCATGGGGAATCGAAGTTGAACTTCTGGGTAAAGGGGGCCTCGTTCCTTAATTAGTGTTCCTTAGGTCAACGCCTCGACTGTATAGTCGCCATCCTCGCCAGAAACCGTTGTGCAGTGCCGCCGGCGGAGGGCCCCCTTTGCCCCGACGCCGTCCGCGCCGCGCGCGCCGCGCGCGGCAGGAGCTCTGCTTCCGGTGATCCGGATCGGCTGCGCCGGCGGATCCGTGATCGTCGCTGGAATCCCGTCGAAGCTCATGACTCATGTTAGAGTTATGTCGGGCGTGTCCCCCTACAGGGGGATTTTCCCCCAAAAATCAAAAAATACCAACAAACATGCTTCAAAAAGTTACAAAAATATTCAAAATAGTCCCCAGACTATTTTTGGAGCATTTTTTGAATACTTTTGAGGTATTTTTTATTTTTCGTCGAAAATCCCCCTGTAGGGGGACAGGCCCGACTTAATGTTAGAGCGCGCTCCAGGAGAGGGACAAGGATCGTTTTGGGGCCCGCGCCGCGCTTCTGCCATGTCAGAAGCCAGGGGCGAGGGGGTCCCAGCTTCCCGATCGCCACCCCCCCGAAACCATAATCGCGTATCCATTGTTTGGTTAGCTTTTGGCGTCACGGGGTCACTGCTGGGCCTCAGTGCCGTCAAGAGATGGACTGCTGCGGAAAGCCCGTCCCAGGGAGGGCTCACTTTTGCTTCTGTTCACTTTCCTGCACGGGATCTCTGACTCCCCGACCTCGTCTCCACGGCCAGCTTCTCATTTTGGGCCGTCTTTTGACGGTCCCAAGAGCCCGAAGGAAGACCTCCACGAAGCGAAGCTTGCGAGGCACCTCCGCGTTGTTTGTCCCCAGACGTCGTCAGCCTGGGTATGGAGTCGAGAATTCGGGGGGCGCGGCTTTCGAACTGCTCCAGGCCGCGGAGCGGAAGGAGGGAGGAAGGAGGGGGGACGAATTAGTGAAGAAGGAGGCGAAAGAAGAGAGGTGGAGGAGGGGGAGGAAGAGGGAGGATGACACCATGAAAGGATGCTGATGGTGGTGGTGGCGATGATGACGATGACGATGTCGATGACGGTGATGATGGTGATGTTGTTGGTGGTGATGATGTTGCAAATGCTGATGGGTGGTGGTGGTGATGATGATGATGATGATGATGATGATGATGATGATGATGATGATGATGATGATGATGATGATGATGGTGGTGGTGGTGGTGGTGGTGGTGATGAGTACCTTTTTTTTCGTGTAGCTTGCTGGGTTTCTCTCATTCTGCCGGCCCGTGTTGTGGTACCGCTGTCGTTTGCCCGAGTGTTTGTCGTCAGTGACGCTGGGGCGTGGCCGCTCTCTTGGGGCGGTGCGTGGGGAGCGCAGGATTGCAAAAAAAAACCCGAAGGATTGAAGGATTGCAAAAAACCCTCCTTCGTTTTTTTGCAATCCTTCGTTCAAGTGAGGGCAGGGGGGCACGATTTGTTGCCCCTCCCGGCGGCAGAAGCAGCAGTCATCCAATACAGGGGTGTTGTTGAGAGATCGCCGCATGCATGCATGTGTTTTTGTTTGCCGTATCGCTTTGCACGCAGTATTGTGTCGATCATGCACTTGCTGTGTTCGCAT